AGGAGGGAGACAGGGAATTATTGAGGAGTATCCAGAGGCAACTGAAGATCAAGATCAGAGACAGCAAGGAGACATACAGGAAGAAGCTGGAGAGCAAACTACAGAGGAACAATATCAGAGATGTCTGGTCAGGGATGAAGAAGATCACAGGCTTCAAGCAGAAGAAGGATTGCACAGATGGCTGCCTAGACACAGCCAATGAACTGAACAATTTCTTCAATAGGTTCAGTTCAGGAACAAACCCAGCATCCTCCTCGTCTGCCCCCAGCCAATCAGACATCCCATCCTCCTCTGATCCAACATTTTCCTGTCACACGCCAGCTCTTTTGTCCTCTAACGCAGTCATGGACTGTTCTGGTTTTATAAATCTGTCTTCAACCAAGTCAGGAGATGCTGCTGCCCCATTTACCTCCCCCTCCCACCTATCTGTCTCTAGAAGCCAGGTGAAGAGGCAGCTGGAGAGACTGAACAGGAACAAGGCTGCAGGTCCAGATGGTGTCAGCTCCAGAGTACTGAAGGCATGTGCAGAGCAGCTCTCTTGGATTCTGTAGCACATCTTCAACCTCAGCCTGGCCCAGGAGAAGGTTCCAGTCCTGTGGGAGACATCCTGCCTTGTTCCAGTTCCAAAGAAAACTCGCCCATCAGTCAATGATGACTATAGACCGGTTGCCCTGACATCCTACATCATGAAGGTCCTGGAGAGACTCCTGTTGGTCCACCTGAATAAGCAAACTAGAACATATCAGGACCCGCTGCAGTTTGCTTATTGCCATGGAGTTGGAGTTGAAGATGCCATCATCCAGCTGCTTCAACCAATCCACTGTCATCTGGACAAAGCAGGCAGCACTGTCAGGGTCATGTTCTTTGATTTCTCCAGTGCATTTAACACAATCCAGCCTGATGTACTTTGCCATAAACTCCAGAAGACACAGGTGGAGGCCTCAACTATCGCGTGGATTAAAGACTACCTGACAAACAGAACACAGTTTGTGAGGCTGAAGAAGTGCACATCAAACCAGGCAATCAGTAACATTGGAGCACCACAGGGGACTGTACTCTCACCATTCCTTTTCACCCTGTACACCTCAGACTTCCAGTACAAATCAGAGACCTGTCATCTACAGAAATACTCAGATGACTCTGCAGTTGTCGGGTGTATCAGAGATGGACAGGAAGCTGAGTACAGAGAGCTGGTGGAGCACTTTGTGGCATGGTGTGGAAACAATCATCTGACCTTGAACGTGAACAAAACAAAGGAGATGATTTTAGACTTCAGAAGAAACAGGGTGGAGTCGAACACTGTTTCCATCATGGCAGAAGAAGTGGAGGTGGTTGAGGAATACAAATATCTTGGAGTTCACCTGGACAACAGACTGGACTGGAGAAAGAACAGTGAAGCTGTTTACAAGAAGGGACACAGCAGACTGCACTTCTTGAGGACGCTTAGGTCCTTCAATGTCTGTAGCAAGATGCTGCAGATCTTCTACAAGTCTGTTGTTGAGAGTGTAATCTCTTCAGCCATCGTCTGTTGGGGTAGCAGCATCAGAAGCAGGGACCTGAAAAGGCTCAACAGCCTAATAAAAAAGGCTGGTTCTGTTCTGGGGACGACTGTGGAACCACTTGACGAGATAATGCAAAGACGTATTCTCCAGTGAATCAGGAAAATGATGGACAACCCTGAGCATTCTCTTCACAAGGCTGTCCGACAACGGAAGAGTGTCTTCAGTCAGAGGCTTCTTCAGTTTGGCTACAACGCTGACCGCTACTGGAAATCCTTCCTGCCAACAACCATTGTAATATACAGCAACTCTTTGATGACTTGATTATTATTATTATTCCGAGCTACTACAGTAATCACTTTCCCTCTGGAATTAATAAAGTATTTTTGAATTTGAATTTAAATAAAAACAATAGAACAGGAGAACAGTTAACAGCACTATAAAAAATTAAATAATGCGACGAATGATAAAAACATTTTAAATGGCACAAATAAAACGAAATAAGCTACCAGATGGTGCGAGGTGCAAAAAGTGTGCAACTGAATCATAATAACGGAATTAAAAAATCATATCCGGTGCTAGATTTTCATGAAAAGTGTCACGGAGGGAAGGCAATACTAAAGAAGTGTGTTTTCAGGGCCGACTTGAAACTGCTTACAGAGGGAGCCAGACGCACACGGAGGGGCAGAGTTCCAGAGTTTTGGGGCTGCATAAGAGAAGGCACGCTCCCCCCGTGATTTGTACCGAACCTTCGGAACAACAAGCAGCAGATGATCACTGATGTCACTGCTTACTGGAAAGGCCCAAGAGTGGGCTGCTGCCCTCTGTTATACTCAGACCCCCGTCTGCAACAACTATGCCACCTTTGTGGTGTAACGTCCAGCAATGGTCAGTTTTTAGGTACAGTTTGACCATTCAACATCTGGTCAGAAAGGAGACACGAGACTGCATGTGTCCTCTTTAATTTGGCCTGCCTTCATACCAGCTGGAGCTCGAAGCCTGCAGCTCTGAACACAGATAACAAATTGTCAACAATAAGGTTCTCCCCCCAAGGTTCAAGCTTTCCTTATGGTCTACAGGATTCTTCATGCCATATAAAGAATACTCCAGCTCGGATCAGTTGCTAAATCAAGAATGATTTCCTAAATCAATATGAACTTCTCCACAACTTATAAGCTGGATAATCATTAAATAAACATTTGTTTATTGCTACTTATAATAATTATAATATAATGAAATACTTCATTAATCTGTGCTCAATGAATGAAGTTTGAAATGAATAATATGGTTATGATTACAGTGATTGAAATACGTTTCAGCATGTTTATATGACAAGGTCATCACCATTTGAACTCACACAAAAACAAAGTAAGGTTAAGTTAAACTCTGACACATTAATAGTCCTTTACCCCAGATCAGAGCATCGGTATCAAAGAAGGCGTGTTTCTGAGTTTATTGGTAACATTTCGCAAACCTGTCAACCTCTGGTTGGCTACACAAGTCATAAAATGAGAACATCAAAACTGGATCACTCTCGGGTGATCTCTCAGTTCTAGAGAAAGTTTCAAACCGGCCATCTGAAGCAAAACCCTCTTCAATCCATCAAAGCTTTTGACACGTGGTAAAAACCTTTTTGCACCTGTGAAGCTGATACAGAAACAGTTCCTGCAGAGCAAGCTGATATTGTTTAGACTCCTTTAGAGTCCCAGACGCGCGGTACCATCCGTCTCTTGTGACCGGAAGACAACTCTAAAACCAGTCTAGTAGTACCGCAGTTCTTCTATGGACCTCGGTACCTGGAAGTCCGAGGACATCAACATTCTGGATCTATCACGAGGGTCTTTGAGTGGATACGTAAATATGACAGATTGCATCTGATGTGTTTTGATAACAACCACCTTCATAGCTTAACGCAAACTAAATTCTTTTACATCCAGAACTCAATTCTCCTAGATACGGAAGTTCTGAAAACATCACATTCACACATAGGTTCATACATCACAGTAAATGCTTAGTTAACTTGTCATGTTTTAATTGTTTGTAAAATCAATTCTTACTTTTATAAACTTGACTCTTTCCTGAATCAAAACGAAGTGTGTACCATCCCTTAATAAAGAAAGAATCCTAGAATCTTCTGATTAAACACAGTAAAGACCAAGCAGGGTTGATATTCAATATTTAGATAGAGTATGGCAGCTTATTGTCTCAGAATTGTGTACTGAAACTCTTATTTCCCTCTGGGATTAATAAAGTATCTTTGAATTGAACTGAATTGAATTTGGTCATAAGTAGAGGTAATATATATATTGAGCTCTTAAAGCACTCAATTCCTAAAACCTACAGTGGCCGAATTGAAGAAGACCTTCATACATCCAAGCAGCAAGGTGGAAGCAGAGGCCCGCCTCCTGAAGCTCCGTCGGAGGGCTCGCCCCATCTGTGCCTACTCCTCGGACTTTGAAACCCTGGCCGCTATACTTGGTTGGGAGGATGCCGCTTTGAGAGCTGTTTTTCTGGAGGGTTTGGCTCCCTACAACAGGGACGAGATGGCGAGGCAGAAGGTGCCCCAGACCCTCGATGCCACCATCGATCTGTCCCTCTGGATTGACCAGCGAGTCCTGTACCCGCCCAGACACACCATCGGTGCCTCCCAGGCTCCCTTCTGGCTCTCCAGCTTCCGCCTGCGATGAGCCGATGGAGCTGGGCCACCTCTCACAGAAGGAGGGGTAGCGCAGATGGTGAGATGGCCTCTGCGCCTACTGCAGTGATTCAGACTGCAGGTTTACTGGTAGTTCCCAGAATATCGGAAAAATAGGATGGGACGCAGATCTTTTAGCTATCAGGCTCCTCTCTTGTGGAACCAGCTCCCAGCTTTAGTCCATGAGGCAGACACCTTGTCTACTTTTAAGACTAGGCTTAAAACATTTTTATTTGATAGGGCCTATGGTTAAAATCTGATGTTAGCCTAGATCTGGACAAGTGGGGGAGTAGAGGGAGGTGGAGTGTACAGTCGGTAAAGACGGCTGTCCCTTGCCCTGCCTCCAACATGCCTCCATCTAAAAGGCTAGGTTGTCCAGAGTTACCCTGTAGTTACGCTGCTATATGCTTAGACTGCTGGAGGACACACTGACCACTTTCCACACTCTACTACTTTCTTATACAATCTGCACTGTACCTGCAATATTTCCTGCAATTTCAGCTGTTAACTTTATTTTCTCTCTAAGTGTTTTTCTCCCCAGAAGCTACAATGATGTTCTGCTGAGCTGTGGTGGCCTCATGGAGGGGGCCATCGTCTAGCACACTGCTGCTAGCCACTTAAACTTTCTCCCTCTCCTGATAATAACACTTTACCCTCTTTGACATTGAATATGCTACTGCTAGCTTACCCATTTAATTATAGATTCACTAGGATAAATACAATAAAGTTTATCTCTCACCTAATAGAATATTTACTAAGAAATCACAAAGTAACCATAGAAACACTACTTGGTGTGTGTGTGTGTGTGTGTGTGTGTGTGTGTGTGTGTGTGTGTGTGTGTGTGTGTGTGTGTGTGTGTGTGTGTGTGTGTGTGTGTGTGTGTGTGTGTGTGGCCCGGAGGACAGAGGACAGGAGAACTCACAGCTAATTAATTAAATCATTATGTTCTGTACCTTTCTCCCCAGCACAGCCAACAAAGGTTTATGATGGGTCAGTCCTCCTGCATGCTCAGATCATTCCCTTTCCTTGCTTGAAAAATTGTTCCAAAATGAAAGTAGAACCCACATCTTTTTTATCTGTGAATTCAATGCCGTTCGGCGAGTCTCAAATAAAAATGTGGGCATCTTACTGTAAAAAAATACCATTAATGTAAAACATAAACTCTAAATAAACTATGTTCACATCCAGAATCAAACCCAGGACTTCTGCACGGGAGTCCAACGTCTTACTAGGTGAGCTAAAGCACCAGTGACGTCTTTTGTATCTGTAACTGTACTGCCTCTGCTAGGGATGGGCAGTCAGCTAAACTCCTTCCCCACATCAAGACTCTGACGACACGATTCCCGGTTCACAGGTTTATTGACACAGGGAAAGGTGAAACTGTAACAAACAGTACAAGGCATAATCACTGTACTTATTCACCATGTACATATACAACGATGAAAATGTATTAACCCAGTTTCTTTTTATATATGTCAACATGCAATGTCCATATGAATTACTTATCTTTTTAACTCAATTACAAATATCAAATTATGATTTTAACAAGTCTCGCTATAATGAATGGCTTTAATGTGTTTGTTGTTCCCCTTTAAGTAGCTCCATTAGCGATTGCTAGCTCAAACTGCACAAGATCGGTTTTATCATTAAACTTACAAAAAAATTAGCTTACTCGAAAGAAAATGATTTATACATGCACATAACATATAAAACAAGTCTATACATACCCACAATGCTACCAAAGACATAGGATGTATGTGGATGCCACTGGATTTATCTGGCTAAGGTCACCATGCTGCACATGCCTTCTCCTTAATTCACAGACTTACTTCCTATTTACTGATGACATCATGTCCTGTTACCAACTGCAGGTTTTTAAGGTGGCACCAGGGAGTTACAATTGCATATTTAAACATTTACCTAATACAAGAAAAATGTCTTCCTTAACATAACCTTTGATATCAGAACATAACATTTATATCCTTGATGACAGCTGAAACAACGTTCAAAGAACGGTTCAGAGCGAAAATGGCTATTTTGTTGCCAATTAGCAGGAAATATCTAGAAGAACGTTCTACAGAAAGTAGCTAAGGGTTCTCAGAAATGTAGCTAGGTTTGTCACTAGGCGTTAGGAACAGCGACAAAGTCGCTGAGTTGGCACTACCTCACTCTCTGCTGCTAAAGCTACTGATAGCAAATGCTACGGGCTATGCCTGAGCGTGCACGCGCATGAAGCAGCCTGCTCGACCCGAGCAGCTCTCTTCTGTGATTTTACAGAAAAACAGGCAATCACAGTAAAAATGCCACGGCTCATTCTACAGGACCAGGGCATTGCAGGAGAATGTATGAAGAAGACATTTATTATTTCTATACATGTTTTGGCTGTCAAACTTCAATAATGCCCCTTTAAATGGGGAAGCTAGGCACCAGTTTATGGACAAAATCAGCATTATAAACGCTTTGGATCCATATAAAAGACCTAAGACCGAAGCACAGACTACAAATTGCATAACGGACATTTTCAGCCATCTTGTTTGTGGTGTGAGCAGAAGTGATTTTCTGGATGAGAGGTAAATGTTTTATTAGATGATTTTTTTTTATTGAAACAATCAAAATTGCCATCCTAGAAGAAGTTGGAATTTACCAGAATAAAAATGTAGATTGCACTCTCACACAAAGACTGAGATACTGCAGAAGGAGATGTTTGGTCGCCTTACAGCTGCGAGCCGACGAGACATTGTTATGTCAGACATTTGGTCTTTGTGATTAGGCCTCCAAGCAGGAAAACTGTGAAGTGAACCCGTTTTCCACATTTTCCCAGGGTAATCATTTCTCTGTTGCACCTCACAACACGGCAACGATTTACCCTGGTTGAATAATAAACGATAAAATGAATAATAGAATGAATGAAGCCGCAAGGCCTGGCCTGAGCGCGCTGTTGTCTGAAGTAACAAGCAATAAGTAAGGACTTGGAGCCTGCCAACATGGCGGCTGCGTTGTGATGACGATACGATTCCAAGACCTATTCTTGCCAGTTGTGGGTTTAGACACACACATAGTATTTTGTTGTTTTCAGATTCCTTTAAACCTATTTATTTACTGTTTGGTTGTTTATTACTTTAGTCTTGAGTTTAGATCCCATCTCCTTCCATTTGCTGCATGACTTCTAAGTGGATGTAATATTGGATGTTGGCTGCAGCTCTGAAATCTGGTCAGGTCCTATCTGCCACATTGTGACCACAAATATGAGTACAGGACATGTCTGGAGGACTGATAACCAGCCCGCTCCCCAGGCCTGTTTGGCTGGCTGACATTTTGTTGGGATCAGAGTAAGTGAGACCAGTGTGTTTTGCTCCCACATTACATAGACAGTATACACACCACACATAGGCCCTCTGCCTCCCCCACACCTGCACGTACCTCCTGGAAGGTGGACTACCTGGGTGGTGGGAACCAGCACACACTGAAAGGCTTCCTGCTCAGCTGGAGGACCATCAAGGAAGCTTTGCAGCAACTTTCATCAGAAATGTGTGCTGCTGAGGACAGACAGACATATGCAGGAGATCCTCTAGATTGGGAGTGAGTATGGCTGCTTTAATGTCCAGAGCTTAGGACCATGTCACCCTCACAGATCTGAGCTTCCTTTAGCAGACAACACACTCTCCCTTTTGTTATTTTTTATGTTTTGTTTACTACGAAATCTAAGGATAGAACATACCTTACCCTTTCAAGTGAACCAGTAGACTTCTGTCTCTGATCCGATCGTTGCCGTGGTGAGAAGTGTGACACATGTGCACCTTTGCACATGATGCTGCATGAAAAAGAGTGTCCCTGTCTACCAGAAAGTAGAATCTAATACTCATTTCATTCCTCACACACGTCAGCCAGCCTTCCCACAGTGTGTGTGTGTGTGTGTGTGTGTGTGTGTGTGTGTGTGTGTGTGTGTGTGTGTGTGTGTGTGTGTGTGTGTGTGTTTTGTCTCCTGTCCGCGCTACGGTTGACTGTGTTTGTATAGCTGTATGTACACAAATGTGGCCTGAATACGTACGTGCATTAGCACACTGGGCGTTGTCTCTTAGCTGGATTAGCGGTTGCCATGGCATTACTAGGTATAGATGTATGAGTGTCACATCAACATCATCGTCATCAGTGCTCCTCCTTTGCTAACCTGGCGCCACAAAAAAAAAAAAAAACACTCCAACCAACGGGATCATTAGTTGGCAATCACTTTGTCATTCTTCAAGAGGCTCCTCCCACTCCCACCCTGTGTTGTCTGTTTAATCTGGCCCAACACTGCCCCCTTGTGTTTTGTCTTTGAGACTTGTATGTTCTACGTCTCCAGTTTTTCTTTTGTTCTCCTTTTTATGACTGTTTTGTTTTCCTTAAATAAGGTTCTCCGCAGTACAATGCAGTGCTTGTCCATCGTCTCTGCTAACTGCTAACTCATTCCAGTCCATCATTTTCTTGTGTTGCAGTTGTTCTCAGGAGTTCTCCAACACTCTCCCTACATAGCCGCCACATCTTTAACCTTTGATTTTTCCCTTGTCTGTCAGAGGTCACATGAAGGTGAGAGTTCAGACAGAGTTCAGCTACTCCTCCCTTCGGTCTGTGACTGATCACTTCCTATTTAAACCAGGGGAAAATGGTGTGTGCATGCATGCCTGTGTGCACATATGTGCATTAGTGTGTGTGTGTGTGTGTGTGTGTGTGTGTGTGTGTGTGTGTGTGTGTGTGTGTGTGTGTGTGTGAATAGTAGTTCATTAGGAAATTAAATAAATCATCTGATACACATGATAAACACCTAATGATTACATAATTCCTTCCTTACATGTTATTATTTACATTAAGAATGGCATGAAAGTCACTTTGGACAAAAGCATTTGCTAAATACATAAACATAATGGTAAAATGGCCTGTTATTGTACAGCGCCATCCAAGGGTTCTACAACCCCCCAAGGCGCTTCACAACACAGTCAGTCATTCACCCATTCACACACTGGTGGGGATGAGGTACTGCTCTAGAGCTGGTGCTGACAGAGCCTGTTGAACACGGGCGCCACCGCTCCCTCCGACCACCACTAGCATAAAAGAACAGGTATCCTTAGAGAACCAAACTGGTGTTTTTAACTAATTTCGTGATCTGCAGAATTTATTTATTCAGTGATAATTTATCTAATTTTTTAATCAACTTTAAAACCAGAAAAAAATTATCAATATTTTGATGTTTAGAAAAAAATGTCTATTCTCTTAAGTGTGGATTTGTGTTTTGTTTGTAATTTTTACTGCATTTCAGGTAGTTTTACAGTTTTTTACACAGAAACAGCAGAACACAACAGAATCATGGAGGTGTTATTGTTCCCGGCTTTAAAGTCTTCTCTATATGTTCGTCGTTTCAAGTCCATCCTATTCTATTCTCTGTTCAAAAGCCAGAATTCCCGGGGCCTCATGTGTCAACCGTACTTGTGAATAGATGTGTGCATAGGAACTAAATGACACATCGTGTGGTATTCATCGTTTTGTACCGGTGTGTGGAAATGTTCCTAAACACAAGAAAACTTGAGACCATGTGGGAACAGCATCTAGTGGTAGAACGGGGAACTGCAACAGCGAAGGTCCCAGTCATCCACACATGTTCCTCATCCACTAATAATTTTACCTGATAAATAATTATTCAGGTGGAAAAGCAGCTGAGTCACATAACTGGTGCTGAAACACCCGAAGGGAATCTGACATAGGGAGCCTAAGTCTCCTCCCTTTCCGGTCAGCTCGGGTCCTGGAAGAACAAAAAAAGAAAGCAAGTCAACGGGGCTAAAAACGCTATTTTCTAACCCGCTTTGCCTTACGCCCTGGATCACACATATGCTGTACTGCAATTTAAATGAAAAGTAATGATGGTGTTTCGACCACGCCTGTCATGCAAACTGAGATTTATCAGCTTGTAAAAGTTTGTAATTAGCATGACTACGTAGGCACACTGCATATGTGACGTCACCACATAATCTCCTCTCCTCTAGTGTAGCTGCTACCTACCACATGACCAGACTTATGGTGGTTCTTTCCTCCTGTGGGAAGGATTTGGTTTACTGAACTTACATCCATTTTCCCTCAGTTTTCTCCATGTCTGGTTTGATGACGTCACTTTTGTGAAGCGCATTTGTAGTCCTGGACTTGTCTTCACAGAAAATCTAAAATAGCGTTTCCACCCGTTCGAAAATAAACACGTTCTTGGTATCAAAAAGCTTCTTTAAAATTCACAGACATCATGTGTGAAATCCATGGCACATAACAAGTGGAATTAGAAAATAGCGTTTTTATCCCCGTTGACCCATGGTCCTGAAGTAAATGGGCGTGGCTTAGGCTCCCTGTGGTGGAATGGTTGTCGTCTATTTTCTAATCCCAATGGTTTTTCTTCCCATTTTTACTTTGTTTTTAATCATTTTAATTAATTAATATTATTTTTCATTTATTTTCATCATATTGCTGTCCTTGTGAAACGCCTTGTGATTTTGCTTGAGATGAGCCAGATGAAAGAATGTTTCTGTATTATTATTAAAGATTTGTCAGCGCGTACTTTCTGGACTAAACGCGTTTCCGTGAGCGCACTGACAGGTGACCCATCTGGAGCCATGCTGGGAATCGGATCCTTTGTAGAGCGACAGAAACCGCACAAATCCGATTCCAGTTCATGTTCCATTTTACAACGAGAACCCCCAGAATCTCCTCTGCTCCCCCATCATACACACGTTGTCAAGGTAACCAGATGGAATGACAGCTAAGAGCTGGGACGTAATTTTGGGGGGGGACGGGTGGGACATGTCCCCCCCACTTTTTCAAAAGGCAGTTTTGGTCCCCTGCACTTTTTTCCGTCCAAAAACAATGTTACGC